CCGAAGAAACCAAGACCAAGCTGCGGAAATTCAGACTCGGGACGTCGAGAGCAAAGGATGCACAGGCCGTGATATGTACGCACAAAACACCTCAGTCTTGAGCGATGGTGAAGGTTCAGCACGCATGGGAACTGATATCGACAAGACGAAATCGACAAGAAGACGCTGGAAATCCGCGCCGTAGACGACGACGTATACTCAGACTTGCAGAGCCTCGCAGACGAGTTACCAGACCATGCGCCTAGATTCGTGCTCTTGAGTTATCCACTTACATTGGTAAGGCTGACCCCCACTAACTCGTCCTCCCTCCTGTCGACCTTACCTCTGCTCACTCCATTTCCTTTACCCAACCAATCCTACCACCACCATTATCTGTCTATCAAACGACGCTGATAATTCGTGGTTTACCAGGACTCGGGCCGCCTCTCCGTCCCCTACGTAATGCTTTACTACCTCCCGACGACATGTAATGCCGAAGTCAAGATGCTGTATGCGGGAGCGAAGGAGTTGATGAGGAATACCGCCGAGGTGAACCGGATTATTGAGATTGATAGTGCCGAGGAGGTGGAGGGGGTTGAGGAGAAATTGAAAGAGGGCCAATAGAAGGACATTGTCAAGGGCACAAGAGAGTCATTGTGCTGGGAAAGGTCAGGTTCAAGAAATGGTACTGGTATTTGTTTGGGTATCCATAATCTACATTATTGCCGCGACAGCTCGAGCGACCAACCTAACAACCAACGCCATTCATGCGCCTCATTCTCCGTCTTTTCGTGTCTTTTACAAGAAATACTCCACTACCGCCCTGTCATAGGTATATCTACTTCCAGCCCACCCCGGACCATCAAGCGTCGCGATTTCCCTCATCTTCCCCGCTACCCCGACGCTCCCATTCATCACCTCCTTCTGATGCGCGACATAGTCCCTTACAGCGTCATCGACTTTCGTGTCCTACAGAAAGTAGTCCGCAACAGGCTTCTTCGCCGGCATGCCTCTCGAGTCCTGCGGCGCCGCCTCAAACACCCTGTACCGTCTGCCCGGCCCATCCAGATTTCTGGGCCCATTATCCCCGAGCATAGAACTGAGTCGTCGCTCCCCGTTCGGCCCCGCGTTGGAGCCCAGCACCCATCCGCCCCCACCGCCTGCCCTGTCGCCATTGGTTCTCCGCTGATATCCCGCATTGGAGCCATCTTCACCAATCTCGAGAATAGCAGCTACATTGCCGCAGCGGTAGCAGTAGTTGGGCGCAGACCAGACGGTGACAATGGTCGAGTCGAACATTTCCTTGAAGCCCTCCATGACCAGTTGATGTGCTCGGGCGATGAGACTGAGGTCGTTTTTGTGGTTAAACGTCTTGACGATATCGGCGCCAAATAAGAAGCCTGCGCCGCGCGGTGACAGGCCCCAACCATCAATTTCGTCAGGGTCGGACCAGAGGAGATCGCACATGGCGCCTTCGTGGGGGACTTCTTGTTTGCGGTCGAGGAGGCGAATCTTGTCGACGGAATCGACCAAGGGGGACAGGCCGCCGTGTACGCAGAGGATGGCGCCCGTGTCGTTTCGTCGTGAGCCATTTGCGGAGGATGTAGCGCCTGTGCCTGCGGGTCCTACTCGCGACGGTGAGGGCGCAACTGGTGATGATGAGCCCATGTTGGCGCTGGCTTGCGATGCGGCGCTTGATTGTGAGTCCGAATTTCGTGCGTATCGATACATGATCTCGCCGTTGGCGTTGAGCGTCTCGATCTCGATGTCTTGGTCGAGGTCCGGCATGCTGTCCATATTACTGTTCTCAGCGATGGGTCCGTCGGTGGGCTGGAGCGACGTCGCAGCGCCTTGCACGAGAGCGCCGAGGGCTAGGTAGTCGAATACCTCGCAGCAGTATCTACAATAATCAATTCCTCTTCTTCCATTGGAGTGAGCAAAGCATCGTACCTCCACACGTTGACGCTGCCATACTTTCGCAAGCATTCGTCATAAAATCCATATACTGTTGTGATTTGGCGCGACTCGTGGTTGCCGCGAATGAGGGTGATGCGGTCAGGGTATCGTACTTTGAGGCACAGGAGGAGGAGAAAGGACTCGAGGGAGTAGAAGCCGCGATCAACAAAGTCACCTAGCTGTTGTTAGCTTGACTCTGTCGTGAGTGATGATTCTCATACCCATGAAGAGGTAATTTGTATCTGGCACGTCGCCTCCTACGCGAAACAGCTCCATGAGGTCGTGGAACTGGCCGTGGATGTCACCACATATCTGCAGCAGGAATTAGCCTTTCCTGCAGCCGTGTGGTAATGGTAGCGAGCATACCGTCACTGGCGCATCGACGCCCACGACGTTGCCCTCCTCGATCAGCAGCTCGCGTGCCTTGTGACATAGCTCTCGGACCTGGTTTTCGGGTATCGGACGACATGCGCGAAGCTGCTGTATAGCTCTGGGCACTGTCAGTCGTGCTCACGTGAATTGTCGCAAAGAGGCTGCGTGTGGAGAGGGCGTACTTGTCGAGGTCGCTTCCGCCGATGCTCATGATGGCGATTGTGCGCTATGCACCTGCACCGAGCGTAAGAGATGCGAGCCAGATGTCCCAGTCGTGTACCGTAATCGCGTGCGCCTTTGTTTCGTGTGGTATGCAGCGGTGGTGGCGGCGGGACCAATAAATCGGAGGCTGGTGGCGGGACTGATGCTGCGCGTGGTGATTGGGATGAACCAGATGGTGGAAAATTTCGATTCAAAGGCGAGCTACCATCTGCCAATCTTGCAGACTCCAAAAGCAATATCGCGGCGCAGGTCAAGTACAATGCGGTGCTATCCAAGCATGGCCGTCGAGCGCAAAGGCTCCCGCGGCGGTGGATCGTCGAGGCTACAATTAGCGTCATGCTAAAGCTTTGGCCGCCCACGGCCTTCACTCCACCAAAAGCCTGTCACCACTTCCGTCCCCGCATTCCGCCCTCTCCGTCGCCCCCCCTCGCTCGAGGCATCTCAATGGGCTGTGTATGTGCTGCTGTTTGCTCCTTCTCGACGTCGCTTACAATTCACAGCTCAAGTGATGCCTCCGCGGTTCCTTCAGTAATTTCCCATCACCTCACAACCGGCACGAGATGCCTCCACATTTGCATCCGCGGTCGCGCATGACCACCTCGCTCTTTACCACCACCCTCATGGTCTCATTCCTCGTCGTCGCCGCACCACATCTGATACCCTGCCCCGTCGACCCACGCACCCTCGCCGACGCTCCAGACCCCACAGGACAGAACAGGAGACGGCGGCGGAGAAAGGTCACTGAAGAGGAGACGTGCAATGATGTTATGAGCGAGGAGAGACGAAGAAAGCAGCAGCTGGACGACAAGCTGCATCCAAGGCGCGAATGCCCTGTGCCCAAGCCGGGTGGGCTCATTGGCCAAGTGCTGGGCTTGAAGGAGGCTGGCGAAGACGTTGAAAGGATATCGATCCGGAGTAGGGTGGAGAGCGCGAGGAGAGATGCACAGTCCAAGAACGACGATCAATAACACCTGTCGTCGGCAATGGGCAATGTAGATGGTGAACAAGGATCGCAATTAGAAGGATGTATCATACAAACAAAACACTGGGACTCGGAGGAAATCCCTACATTGCAGCGCTCTCTGTATAATAGCTTTGTGAGCCTCTCTGTAGAAATAGGGTTTGCATATAGCCCATGAATGAGTTGTGTAAATTCACCTCTCATTGTCGATTTTGCAGTCTGCGGATTCAAATATTGCTACTTACATGCCTAATCCAACTTTCTGTCTAGGGTCAAATCTTGACATATCTAAGACGGTATGCAGTAATTGGACATGGAAGCGCTACTCATTGATCCAGTAGTGTGCCGTTGGACAAACAACGTGATCGCGTGTCGCGTTCAAGATGCACTACGTCATCTCGAAATGAACAACACCACTAACATCAACATGTAGTACGACCTAGAATCAATGAAAGCCACACTTCTAACCCCTCAATCGTACTTTAATAACCAAATACCTTGAAGACAACTACACAATGCCCCTCAAACCCCTAACCAAACCCCAACGCATGGCCTACCATATCGGCCGCGGCGAGCATCTCGTCCTAACTTTCGAGCCCTACAAATCCGAGATCCTCCCTCTCTGGCGCTTTCGCACGCCCGCCATCGCGCGGCAATCCTCATCCGCAATCTGGTCCAAGTTTCTTGAATACGATGCGGCAGACGACTTCATCGGCATGGACATGGCTCGCAAGTTCTTGCAAATGGGCATGACGCGCGCAAAGAGATATGCGAATCATAAAGGCGGGAGGAAATATGATAAGAAGACGGGCGTAGAGCTGGAGAAGAGTACGGGCCATGAGGGGAGGGAGGAGAAGGAGGAGGCAAGTAGGGTGTTTAGAGAGGTGTGGGAGCGGGCGAGAGCGTACGAAGGGTATGGGGCAAAGAAGGAGAGGTGGGTGAAGGAGAAAAAGGAGTGGGAGAAGGAACAGAAGAAAATGAAGAAGGAGGTCAATGGGGAGGAAGAGGAGGTTGAGGTGGAGAATGGGAGGGGTAGGACGACGGTCAAGAAAGAGATCAAGGAAGAAGAGGATGATGATTGAGGCACCTTTCTTTCTTGCGACAAACGACAGTCAGCGCAATCCTTCTTCTTTTTGAAGCACAAAAGAAGGACTGGACATTCTGCGATTCGAACGCAGGATCTTTCGCAGAGACCCTGTCCAGTCTGCTGCAGACTTGAAGGACGCACACCCCGAGAGGACCTACACCCGATACACAACACGCTCAAGTAACAGGATTGTCTCAAGCTAGGCGCGAGCGGTTATCACTCGATTACATGTCCAAAGTCCTCGTTCGATGATGGTTTCCACGTTTTGGACATTTTATATGCGCTTGGCCGCGTCACGTCCGGACAACGTCACCTCGCTGCGACAAAGCGATGCAACGCGCTCTGATACCGCAAAGGGTCTCGATATAAATGTGATCAATGCGCATCTCCAACATGAAACATGAAAGAGAAAGGCAAAAACACTGGACACTGTGCGATTCGAACGCACCACCTCTCGCAGGACTTGTCTAGTCTGATACAGACTGAAGGGTCGTGAAACCCCGAGCCGACAACAGCCTTTGCAATGGCAGAGCCCGACTCGATACACGGCACGGTCAAGTAGCCGGATTGTCTCAGCCTATGTGCGAGCGTCTTACCACTCGACCAAGCGTCCGACGAAGCTCGTTGATGGCATTCTCAAGAGGTGTTGAAAATATATCCTAATAAATGTGACGTGTGACTAGACAGGACAAACCACGAGCAACTTCAATAATGTCTTGAGCATGGTGCCCTACTTTGAAGTCGAGAAGGCGTCCTGTAGTGAGTGAGAGCCTAGCATAGCCTTCATCACACCAACTGAACCCAGGAAGTTTGGAAGAACTTAACGCTCAAGGTTGTCAACCACAGCTTTGGGCATGCAGCTTTCTACAGAAGTTTTGCACTTACTGAGATAAGCGGGTATGTACAAAGGTACAGCTTAATATCACTCGTTCATTGATAGCAAAAGTGATTTCACACGGCAATTGAACTTGGTCCAAACTCTTCGATAGGATCCAAGATACTACCTTGTTATGACATCCTTCCGAGGCTAATCTCGAGGATCCAAGGAGGGGCCATGTCCATTTGGTCACGTGGACTGCGCCGCCTGATGGCGAATTGATGGAACGTACGACAAGCTTGCGATATTCGATACCCGAAAGAAAGGTGACGTACAACATCCAAAACAGCACAGTAAGACTCCAAGATAGTATGAAAGTGGCAGAATTTCCCAATGAAACCTTTGAGCAGACCATCGCCCTTGGTGGTGGTCGAGGTCGGACTTGGCATTCGGAGAATACAACAACGCCTTGTCTAATTCAGCGCTAGTACTTTCCTAACCAGGCCCGTGTACAAGACAGGCTACGACATCTCACGTGAAAATCACCACCTCTCTTCGCGCTTCTACTCCGCCTAATGTTTCGCCAAGTTTATCATTCAAGCCAAGTCTTTGCCAAGAGGGCGTTCTTGTGACCAGGCACCGAACAAGACTTTAGTCACTGGTCTCGGGGTACAAGCTTGGGAGATCTAATCGAATAAAGTGTCCAGCAATTTCGCCGAACACCGCACGACCAGAACGCCCTGTCGCGATGGGTTGACAATGAAACGTACAGTGGAGCGGGCGATCGTCCGAAGTGTTCTGCGATGCGACGAGACCCAACTCCGAGGGGAAGATCTGGTTTGTTGAGAGTTAGCACTTTACACAATGATGTAGATGGATGTCTTGGAGTCATCGAGAGAGGAGGCTGAGCTCTGGCGCTGTTGCCTTTGCGTGCGTCAGCTGGCTACGAACGATACACAGTAGAGGAAACGGATGGTATGAGAACTTGACAGTCACTGAAGCACAAAGTCTATATAAGACCACGAAACTCCCCCCAGATACTTCCATCATCCAACAGTTCCCAACAATCAAACAACAAGCACTCGTGTGAGCCACTCCACCACAGCCTACACTTCTCAGCTAACAAAAAAGCAAAGATGTCCAACACCAAATACACCGTCACCGTCACAGACTCATCCTCCAACCAGCAACTCCTCAGCTTGAGCAAAAACCGCTACTCCTCCGAACAAGATCTCATCGCATCTTTCGCACACAAACTTCTCGACCCCAACGTCGATTCCATAACCTTTACCAAATCCGAAAATGAAGTTCACGTACGCTTCTCTGTCCGCGGCGGCGATGCTGCTTCTGCACGCCAGCTCCTCTATGGCAGCAGCTATGCCCGAGAAGGCGACGAGGTCCGTGAGGGCTAGGTCTCTCACCGACGGCCCAGCTAAGCTGCATGCGCGCGACGACTACTCCATGGTGTGCGTTATGGGCGGAACGGCTTGCGGTGGCAAGTCGGATACGCTTTCTGCGCTGTGCAACTTGACTGGCTGCAAGGCTACTGGCGGAGATTGCTCAGACGATGGGACTTTGGAGGGCGGTTCAGATGTTTGGTGCAACCAGTGCCACTGCGAGGAGGACTAAATGTGCTCTTTGGGCATATCTGTCAGTATTGAGAAAGATGGAAGCCATGTGGGCATCTGTATTGGTAACGGAGAAGACCGGCACTTCGCTCTTTACTGCTGGTTATAGATTTCCTTATCTTCTTCGCATGTATATAACATTTTCGGTCCCTACTGCTGTACATATATAGACAATCAGTAGCAACAGGCTACTTCTACTACTTCTGTGTCTACAAGTTTGCCATCCTACCCTCGTAACGATTGCATGACCAAGAGCTCTGATTGAGAAGACTCCCAACCCCAACCATCACGTTACTATTCCTCCTCAGAGGTAAAATGCTATCTGTATCTGAATCTGATTCGAGGACATATAATATGTATTTGTAGTTGACTCATGCAGAATCGAACCTCCATTCCAAAAGAATGCTTTGGTCATCAACATCACTCGTCTCTGGTACCAAAACTCCCCTCAGCTCATCGACCACGTCGCCCATGCGCACTCCTCTCTCCCTCTCGACTCGGATCATATATCTCGCCCAGGTCTCGCGGCCTCTAAGAATCGCGCTCCTGTTACTCAAATCCCACTCCGCGCCTCTTCGGGCATATACCTCGACGCTCTTAACGTATGGTTGGGTCATGCTTTCTGCAAGCCAAGCATTGTTCTCGAATAGCTCAGCGAATTCTTTTCGAGTGCATTTTGTCTGCAAACCTGTCTCCAAGTATCCTCTAACAACTGAATCAAGTCCAGACATCAGCTCTGTTGCATTGGTGGCGAGAAAAGGGTGAAGATGTGGCCTGATCTTCTCCAGGACCTGTGCATGCGTCCCCTCCCGCCAACAAAGGTACTCATCGCCTAACTCGAGCATTTGCGCTGAGAGGATACAGCATTCATCCTGGATCTGGATGCTAGTAGCAACATCGCGGATAGCGGCCGGAAGAGGCTCGCGTGACAGTTTCCGAGACCCGGAGATTGAGTCCGGGAGTGGAAAGAGGCGTGGAGGCAATTGGTTCTTGATTGTTGTACGCCAATGACGAGTGACCCCGGAGCATACCGAGATGTCCTTTGGGTCGAGGTAGAGAAGGATGTGCATGAGTAATTCGGGGATGTGGAAAATGGGGTGCATGGTCACACAGCAAAGGGGTTTGGTCGTGAAGAGAATCGTGGTATTCAAGGAAACACCGGAGATGGAGAGACTGAATCAAGCTTCGATTGTGCGTTCTATATAGTGATCAGATCTGGATAACGCCCATGTCTGGGTACCGCCTGTTGCTGACATCAGCCGTGGTATCTCGCAGTGTGACAGGTGGAGAGATCCATCAAATCAATAGTTCTAGCAGCTGACCTTATTCGGTCTACGATTCTCGACGTGGTAACATTCCACAAAATTCGGGCTTCTGGAGTTCTGGTTTCTGACTTCTTTTCTGACTTTCCTTGCTGGGCATTGACCTCATTAGGTCACGGGTCCCGGAGCCGAAGCTTCTAAGCAAATAGATTTGCAGCATTCAACCTGCGCGAAGTTCCGCGCGCGCGGACATTGGTCTTCTCGTACGTGTGTTATATCGCAGGTTGTTGATGAAGATAGCGTGAGAAGGGGAGTTGTCCGCGCCCGCGCTCCTATGTGGCCAATCAGCAACGCCATGCAGCCCCACAGCCTGACTTTTGCGCCTGATGCGAATGCATCCACCCGCTTCATCCAGCATTCAACATGACATCAATTAAGATCTTAGAGGGCTTCAGGCTGCCAGATCATCCGGATGCAGCTCTGCAATCGAATCGCGCTGCGTTGTCAGTGGTGGATGTCGAAGCAGAAAACGGCGCTAGCGACCTCAGCGAAGTCACCCCTGCGATTGGCATAGCCACAGTCCTCTACCACTGGTGCCCAGATGCGCTCGCTGCGTTTCTTGACCTGGATGCGTGGTTCTCATTCACATGGACGGTTGCAATTCGACAAGGTGAAGCAGACGAGACCAACATCGAGATCGGGCGTGTCGGGAACCAAGTCACGTTCGGAACACTGGACAAAGATGGCGACAACTGGACCTTGATGCTCACATATAACATCGCCATGGAAGGGACTGAGCGAGGAGCGTGGATTCCAAACCCGAAGGAGAGCATGGAGGGCGACAACGACGTTACTGATACTGACGAGATTGAAAAATTAAGTCGTGTGTTCGCAAATGATTTAGTCAGGGAAAGGAGATGGGCGACCGGAAAAAAGATGCGACACAAGTTCTATATCGAGTATGCGCCTATGGATGTTTGGGGCGACGGGATTCCAATGAGTCCGCACTGGCTTTACAAGGCCCTCGATCTATCGAGGTGTACTACATGCAGCTCAGATAATGAATCGACGCTGCAGAGATGCGGCCGATGCGGTACAGCTACCTATTGCTCGAGCACATGCCAACGCAGGGACTGGGCTGTCCACAAGCATATTTGCAGTCTGGGCTTGGAGGATCGGGGCCAAATGCTTGCAATCACAGAGAAGGGCGGTTTGATCAATTGGGATAAGACGAGGACTTATGCGATTGAGGGGAGCGGTGAGGAGTCGAGAAATCCGAATTTCGTGGAGCCGCAGCTGAAGCGCTGTCTTTCGGGGTCATAGGCTGGGACTCTTGGGATTTAACACTTTAAGAAGCCTAAATGTGGGCACGAGCATTCAAATCTGATCTGATGTACGATGATGGAGACCAATCACGTTCTCTGGATCTAGCGCGCATGAAAATGAGGAAAATCGCGATTTGAAAACGCTTTCCAGATTGGTTATTGTAGAGGTGCCCGGTGCAAGCACTTCGAGAACGTTACAGCGAATAGCTTACTCTTGAGATGGTAGCAGAAGCTCTTGCAGAATCATGTGCTTCAAAAACGTGCTCTGGTACCACCAAACGCAAGAACTTTGTGAATAATGTTGATTAAGTCATGCGAAGTGAATGTAAGAAGTCATCATGGCACATTTTTGGTCCACGATTGCGAGCAAACTTATAAGCCAGTTTACAATCGATTTCAAGGAGCAATAATGTTTTGCATTTGATTCAGTGGCCAAAATGCTCGGATCTCAACGACAACTGTCCAAAATTTATGTATAAAGCACAAGGGGGGCAGACATGTGCTCCCATTGAGGGTTGATCGACTTCCTGTATCATGACTTCTGTAATCTTAAGTTCTGTTGCAGACCAGAAAACCCAATC